GTGTGTGTGTGTGTGTGTGTGTGTGTGTGTGTGTGTGTGTGTGTGTGTGTGTACGTACACAAGGTGACTGGCAATAAGTGTCCAAAATTTCAGCAGATGTTTCTATTCACCATATGCAACAAAAAACTTCCTAAAAACCTCTGTACAAATCTCAACGGTAAAGAAGTAATTTCAGGTTTTGGGTATTTTTAATTTTAATTTTTTAACAACCAGTTTCCCTCAGCCCCTGATGAAGTTGTTGGAAGGAACTATCTGTTGGAACGTCTCAATGTGGAAAACGAGCTTGGTATTCTCTCCTTGCAGCAGTAGCATTACCGTTGCTTAACTAAATGAAATGCATATCAGAAAGATGTGCATTAGGAAACAAGGACATAATTTAAATCACCTATCTGAGGAAGTTGTCAGCTGATAACAAAGCAAACTGATTGAATTGAACATAAAAAAACTGACACGAAACTGGAAAAATTGAACTTCATCGACACCAGTTTTTTCAACAAAATGCAAAATTTTTGGGCCTTCCAGAAGCGCAATCCAAAAACGTGAGTATACCGCTGGAAGCTAATTGAATGGGCAACTTTTGGGAGAATTTGCAAAGCTCCAGGAGTTTGTAGTTATTAACAATTACCAATCCGACATTTTAAAAAAATTCCAAATTTCAACATTTCTGTTTTTTTCTGAATTTTTCGTGTAGAATTTTTTCATCAGTTCCGCTATGTAAATAGGTTTGATTACAGAAAATTTAACGTTCTTTCAGGTGCACACACCAGATTTTTCTACAGTCTATAAATCTGAACTTTATAAGCAATTTAGAGGACCTAAGTCGAAAAATCAAAAAACACCCAAAACCTGAAAATACTCTTTTACCGTTGAGATTTGGACAGGGGTTTATAGGAAGTTTTTTGTTGCATATAATGAATAGAAACACCTCCTGAAATATTCGACACTTATCGGAAATGTTTTGTATCGTAATGTCATTAATTCAGCGGATATGATAAACCATGTATAAAATTGTTGATATTCAGCTATTCTCCCTTTCATTACCAATGAAATGTGTGAATCAATGAAAACACTGCAAATTACTGTAGCGTAACGAGTCATACCCAAATATCAAGACGTCAAGTTTCTATAAATTACAAAAACACGTTCGCTTCTGAAAAGGTCTGTCTCTTTGTAAAAGTATATGTATAAAATTGTTGGGTTGTGGGTGTATATATTCGGTCATATCTGTTTAAACAACAATTTGCTCCTTTTTTCGCCTATTCATGACTAACTATAAGGCAAACAGTTATTTAAACACCTATGGACGAATAAACTATTACGGCTATTCTTTATAGCTTATCATACATTGTCTGTTTGGGCGTTTTTCGATAGACATCAAAATTACATTTCTCACATCCGTTCATTAACATACAATCACTTATGTTTTTCGTTCTTGAATAGCAAACTAGAAGCTGTTGCGTTCTGCCAAAACTAAGCCATGAGTAGCTAACAACAAAAAATACGTAAGTAAGCAAGTCATGTGTATAGGACCGAAGTATTCGATAACTTCTCATTTTACAAAAAGGCCCAACGTCACAATGTATTCATTCTTTATTTGATTGGATGTTTTTCAAAAGGAAAAACATCGCATACGATCACAACACGTATGTATTAATTTTCTACAACTGAACTGGGTCGAACTTTTTCAAAAAGGATTTTAAAACCATCCATACCGTAATGGTAATGCCGGCTTTACTAAAAATCCGGGGACGTATCTCGAAAACGATAAGTGGTGGCTTTTCCCCTGCTCCAGTCACGTCAACATGCATGCAAGAAGCTATCAAGGACGGAAATCCCACGACCATCGCGAAAAATGAGCCGGGCCAAGGCTAATCTCGGTTCTACTTTAACAAATTCCTAATCGAATTCGATAATTTCTGGCGTTGCCTTCTGTCTTATTCATAAAATCCAACGGAAGTGGTATTTTCGACAAGAAATATTTTCAATACTCGCTAAGTTTTAATCGGCACCTACCTTATAAATTTTAGCGGAATTTACCTGATAAAACATTTTTTTCTATGGGTATGCTTCAATAAAATTTAAAAAAATTCGTTTTATCATTGTTTGCATATTCTTGGATCGAATTTTCCGTCGCCGTTGTCAGAATTTTATAACGCTTAAAAAATGCACCTTAACAAGCGATTGTACAGTAGTTTGGACGGGATCATGTAAGTCTGTCTGGCGCGTTTTGGCTTCTCGCCATCTTCAGTGTTGGGTCGGTGAGAGTCAACTTGCACCAGGGGGAAAATAATAATCACTAAAAATAGAACATTTTCCTTTTTTCCCTTGAATTTTCTTTTTCGTTTTATCAATTAAACAGACAAATAGAGGATTTTCTCGAATTCACAGAAAAATATAATACTGAATAGCAACCGCCTAGCGAAAATTAGCTGACCAGGATGATCAAAGATTATATAACTCATAGAAACCAAAAAAATTGTTAATGTATTAATAACAAACGTTCAAAAAGGGCCCAAATCAAGGAGAAAACGGAATCAAGATCGGATCCTAGCAGTCCTGAATTTGGTCCCGACCCCTTGAAAATGAGTTTCTTCCATGGAAGAACACCAACACACCGGGGGCTCCAGGAAGGAGTACAATAAATTCTGTAGAGGTTCAGATCTCAGGGAAACTCAACCAGTTCCTGGTATCCACCACAATAAAAAAATGAAATAAATAATCAAGAATAAAGAATAATTGACCCCTCTTGGTTATCCCAGATGTAATGTCTAAGTTACAAAAGTTTTACCTAAATTACTCTCGGTAAACTGAGAAAGTTGATGAAGTTTGTATCGTCATACGAAAATTAATCAACTTTAGATCCACTGGCCTCGATGTTTCTCGAGTCTATCGACGAAACGATGTGCCAAAGGTGGATCAATTTGGGTGTAACCATTGTATAAACATTAATTTATAAATATAGGAGAAATAATAAGTATTATTCAATTATAATTATTATTCAAGTTCAATTTGAACCCTTGAGAGTCTTACCGATCATGGGATTAGTAAAAGTGTCAAAACAGGTAAAGTAATTTCTGTCAGACAGGGGGATTTAACGGCTTCGTTCCTTATTTATTCTTTAAGAAGAGTTTCTTATATAATTCGAAGGACGATGTTTTAGGAACGGATAAAACCAAACTACGCCCTAAAGGACGAAGCTGTTAGGCTCCAGTGATATCGATCCGGTCCTGAGCCTCCCAGTCCGACTGTAAACAAATATTCCTTGGCCATAATTTGATTCATCCACCCAGAAAAAAAGTCATATCTAAATTACCGTATTTTTTCGTGCGTAATGGTAAGCCTCTTGTCATTGCGTCAGTATAATCGATGAAGTAATCATATCGCAACCAAGAGCCATGTATTAAGGTGTTTATCGTCCCGCTGGAAAATTAGCAGAACGACCATCGATCCAAACTTTGGCCTGGTAATTCAACTTTCCTCCGAAAGGTAGTATGGAATATCATTGAAAAATACGTGAATTTTTAAAAAGCAATCTTTCACACGATGGTACAGCCAAATAAGTGATGACAAAAAAGACTATTGCTGATATCAACACATTTAAAAAAAAATGAAAGTATGAAGTTCCAGATTGAACAATAAAAAAGTTCTCATTTATTTGTCACTTTATTCCATTTTGATTAATTTAAAAATTATTTTAATACTGATCCTTTTTAATTTACTGTCGAAAGCATGAACATTTTTCTACTTGATTAAACTTTCTCAATCACTCAATATCTCTCTCTCTCTCTCTCTCTCTCTCTCTCTCTCTCTCTCTCTCTCTCTCCTCTCCCTTCCCTCTTCCTTTTCTCACTATCCTTTCATTTTCATTAACTCCCTCTTTCTTTCTTCTCTCTCTCTCTCTTTCTTTTTTCTTTCTCTTTCTCAATCTATTTTATTCTTCTTCTCATCCATCTCCCCCTTTCTTTCTTTCTTCCTTTCTTTCTTTTTCTTTCTCCCTCATTCCCCCTCTCTTTCTCTCTGACTCAAACTCTTTTTTTTTATTTATCTCCGTTTCTCTTTCTCAATCTATTTTATTCTTCTTCTTATCTATCTCCCCCTTTCTTTCTTTCTTCCTTTCTTTCTTTTTCTTTCTCCCTCATTCCCCTCTCTTTCTCTCTGACTCAAACTCTTTTTTTTTTTATTTATCTCCGTTTCTCTTTCTCCGTTCTATGTACGAGTATTATAAATAAAATCCCTCCCTCTCCCTCTCCCTCTCTCTCACTCTCTCCCTCTCCCTCTCTCTCTCTCTCTCTTTCGCTTTTTGATCTTGTGAGATTTTGCAAATTAGGAGATTAATCCATTATAAACTACTAATATTTATTCTGAACGAGACACGTTTTAACGTTTTATGTAAATATGTAATACATTGTATAATTATAACATGTGATGTGACAGTTTTAAACTATGTGATTTAATAATTAAGCTTACAAACTTCAAATAATCATAACTTTTTTTTAAGATGTATTTATACTTGTTTCTTACAAATCTTCTATCCTGCTACATTAATGCTAGTCTACAGTTTTAGAAACGTTACAACAAATATTTAATTTTACGCACTTTATAATTACGCTAATAAACGTTTTGCAAGGGCCTGTATTTTTAATCTTCTTTAAACAACAAAACAGATTTTATTTTTGTTACTAATTAACGTCCAATTCTTGAAGATCTTGCAATAGGAAAATTGTTTTATTGCTTGATTATAGCAACACTATTATAACCTTTAATACAATAAATAAATCGTTTAGTTAAGAGGTAAAAAATTAATATGATTGGTGGTAATGATAAATAATATATGAAAGTAAGCAAATAATTTCATATTGCATCATGTTTGAGCGAAGGGTTATCCATTTTTTTCTCCATCGGAAATGGCGAAGAAATTTGATTTCTATTGTTATCTTTTTATCCCAAAATAATTTTTTTTTAATCTTAAAATATTGACATTTGACTCTGATATCTTTCAGGTTTTGCACTGAAATGCTACATGTGCGACTCATTGGTCAACAAAAAATGCCATGAAGCTGAGTCCCTATCAGACAAAGAAGCTACTGAGTGCAACAATGAAATCATAAATAAAGTCGCAGATTTCGCAGGCTCGTTGTTCGGTGGGGGAGAAAAGAACACTAAATTGGATTTCTCATGCGCCAAAGTGGTCAAAACGAACGGTGAGACGATTTTTTTGCCATAGGCACAAGTATAATGAAATAATTCGAACAAATTTTCCAGGAGATGTTACCAGATCCTGTGTCATCGGAAAGGAGAGCGATTGGTGCAGTAAAATGAAGGATGCCAATGCGGTCAAAAGCTGTCAATTCTGCACAGGCGACCTCTGCAACGCAGGGACCACTTTCCACGCTACTGCCGGCATCATCCTCGCGTCCGCCGCAGTATTAATCGGCCGTTATATGTAATTATTCCCTCACAAAATATAATTATAATTTCTTCCATTCTGCAAAAATTGCGCTTTAATTCAGAAGAAAAAATAAACATATAATTAAAGAGCATTCAACATTTTAATGCTGCTTTATTTTTCGCTGGTAAAATTGTTTTTGTATATTTATTTTTAAAAATCTGATTTTGTAAGTTTTTTTGGATTCATTGTACAAAGGAGTTAATCGTTGACATAAAATTACCATTGTAAGAATTATTGTTTGTTAATACAAAATTATATTCCTGAATATTGTGTATTTTAGCCTGTTTATTCATATATTTTAACAAAAAAATATATAGTGTTAAAAAAAACACTTTGGCTTATTAAAAATATAAAATTGAATGTGCAAAACTAGTCTGTCCCCTGGACGAATGTTGATTAAATCTTCAATACACCAATAAAAACAAAGCATAATTACAAAACTGCAATGATGCATTTAATACTAATTATAAAATAACGTCATTAAATACTAATAACAAAATCTGAAATAAGAAATGACTAACTATTTAAAAAATTTCCACTATGAAATCAACTCAGGGAGACAAGTACAAGAAACTTTTTAATATATAATAGTAAACAGCAAGTACAATAGTCATGGAGAGATGCATATAGAGATAGAGTATAAAGATTGTTACTACGCAAGATTAAATGTTATGCTAAAATAAGTAGATTTGTGCATTTAATAGGATCAGTATTGATGTTTTAAAATAGCAATATATAATTTTTTTAGTATGCGTACAACATGAATATTTTGCTACATCAATCTATCACCATTGAAATGCCTTAATCAAATGCATTTATAAACGACACCAAGACGAACGAATTTCTTTGTGACAGCTTTTCTCAGGGAAACAACGTATTGGAATTGTAAATTTCTACAGCTGTATATTGTGTGTTGTAATCGAACGCTCAATCTTTTCACAATTGTATTTGTCATATGCAGTTAGTGCATACTGGAAAATTGACAGAATATTAGCAATAAAATTATTTTTGTTTGTTTTGTACGCGTGCGAACTTTACTTCCATCAGCCACCAATCAAATGCCTTAAAAGTTAACCACATTTATGAAATCACACGGTCTTATAAAACAGTTTCTTTACCAACAAGTACCATTATAATAATCAGCTATATGAATTGATGTTATCAAAGATTCAATGTTTCATGTTATAAAATAAGTAGATGTATTTGAAATAAACATTCATTTACACAATAAAATTTGTCTTTTTTTCTGTATCTCCTCAAACATGTTGATGTATTGATAAGAGTAGAATTAAAACATTTAAAACTACATTCTTACTAAGAAAGAGATTGCAACACTGTACTTTTTAACTGTGCAATTCGCATAGTTTAAGCTATTAATCAATTTGTTAGTTGGAAAGGTTGGCACGATCTTTCTTATTCAAAAATTAATAAAATCTTGAAAATTTTTGTAACTCATACATTGAATTATTTGAGTTGTTTGAGGACATATTTTTAAGCCTGTTGGTTTTCCAGAAAAGTGTCAAAATTTATTAGGTCAATAATTGTATGATTTGTGTAAGAAATTAAACAAGAGCATAAAAAATAAATGTGTTAAAAGCAATTACCATTAGGCAAAAGCAGTTTGTTGTTTACAAGATAATAAGTACAATTTAAGTCAGCGGTCTGAGCCAAATTTGTATCTGACTTTAGCAGATGAATTTTCAGCTTCAAGAATCATTGAGTGAATCACATGAGCCAGTTTACAAATTGATAAGTAAACGTTCTGAAGATTCTTTGTTGTAAATTTTTTTTTAAAATTCTGTTTTACAGATTACAAGTCTTGTAGTGTGGTTAAAGCAGAACAAGGCTACCCACTTTAACACTGCTTATTTCACCTTTCAGATTACAGTACTTCCAACATTAAAAGATTTCTTTAGTTAAAAAATGTTGAATTAGCACTGGGTCCACCTACAATCACATTTTTGAGGTTCCTGCTGAAGATGGTGCAAAAGCCTAGCTTAAATTAATTTTCATGACAAATCAATTAATTACAATTTTTATATAAGGTCTTGGTTGAGATGAAAAAGTTGGTGTCATGAGCCCTACTAACCACAGGAGCTATTGTGACAGTTGAAGCGGTTAGAGCAGCGGTGTATTGATCCAAGGTCGTGGGTTCGAATCCCACTCGTGACACGAACTTTTCATCTCAACCAAGACCTTACGTAAAAAGTATAATTAATTGAAACAATTAATATGGTCAATAATACCACTAAACATAAACGGATTCATTATATTATTTCAGTATCTCAGATAAGTTCTATTTGGTTGGTTTGTTTTTAAGACAATAATCAAGAATTGGTAGAATTGAGGTGAGTATTAAAAAAAAATTGATCTCATGATCCCACATAGTAAATGTTAATATTTTTGTGAAAATAATAAAATTTATTCCATATATGTATTGAGAGCAGTGGACATACCTATATTTTTTAACATAATTTTTTTTATGTTACCTAAGCCAAAAAATTAACCTGCAACTGTACAAATACTTTATCTCCAGTAAAAAAAGAAAAGCTAGAGAATTCTATTATACTGATCAGAGGAAATTCACAGCTCAACCAAATAGCAGTTGACATGGAAGAGCAATGTCATTAACAACATATCCTCAAAGCAAACACATTAAAAACCACACCATTTGCATTTATCAAAATAAGAAACATAGAAATAGAAGGTTCATGAATTGTTACCATTCAAAAATTAGACTAACTTCCTAGGAATAATCTTTGAGACTCACACCAGCTCCCTTATGACCTCTGGCCACAAGAAGAACCCTATGCAAATCTTCATGCTAACACCTAAAATAAGAGTCGATAGTTGGCTACATACAGTCCTGAGATATTCTATGTTTTATTAAAGTGGTGTTCAAAATCAAAACCCAAAAATTAGGCAGTATGACTACAACCCCATCAGCTGCCTTACAAACATTTTTAAACCTACCTCCATTGGAAGCGCAATTACAAACAAGAAGGAGTGAGGAAAAGCTCATCAGACTCCAAAAAATTAAAAATAAACAAATAAGATGGGAACCAAACATTACAGGCATAAAACAATAACAAATCAAATCAGATACCGATTTTTAGATATGTCGACTGATTATACAAATTTGTAAATGGCCTTTGCAACATCCTATAAAGCTTGCACAGGCACAAAGAAGAAGAAGAAATCATGATAAAATCAATACCATTAAGTGTGTGTGAAAGAGATGGGGACCGCGGTAGCCGAGTGCTTAAGGCGTCTCTCGGCTAGTAGATCCTTCAGCCGTGGGTTCGATCCCCACCGTCGCCTCAGGACTTTTTCAGACGCCTAAGGGGACCGGTGGCCGCAATTAAAAGAAATTGACACTGCACTCATCAATGGAAGGGGCGGGATCGGATCCCAGTGACCCTGAATTTGGTCCCAACCCCCTTCAAAAATGAGTTTCTTCGATGGAAGAACACCGGTACAATGGGGGCTCAAGTTCACATTTGTGTTGCGAGCCCTCCCCCAAAATATGGAGCCAGGGATAAAGTACAATAAGCTGTACAGCTCAGCTGCAGTGCACAGGAGGGAACTCCTCCAGTCCCTGGTAACCATTGTAAAAAAAAAAAAAGTTAAAGAGATGGCTCCAAAGCAAGTGAAGCAATTCAGTGATGTATCTACTGTAGAAGCCCAATAAACAATCAAACTCTTTAGGAGAGAGTACCTCTGTCTTTCAAGCTGAAATTCATACTACCAAGCTTGTACCATAGTACAAACTTAAAAATAGCTATACTGACAAAAAAAATCCTCATAAGATCAGATAGCCAAGCTGTCCTAAAAATATTAGTACGTAAAGAGGTCACATCAAAATTAGTCTATGAATGCATCCATAATCTTCAAAATAAGGAAAAACACAACAACCTGGCAATATCTTGGGTAATGAACATGCTGGCAACTGGCTAGAAGAGGATCATCAGGCAAGAACGTATACTTGAGAAAACAAGATCAAACATAGACTCATCCATCTTAGAATGGGTGCACAAAAAGAGGAGTGGACAAAATCCAAAGTGTTAGACACATCAAATTCACAATTAAAGAGCCCTCATCAAAACACATTGCTACAATTAAACAGGGTAAAAGTGAGAATGATAGGGCCATATCACTGGCATCTGAGAAAACATCTATATGGTATATTTAGTGATGACCCCATTTGTAGGTTATGTAATGGGGAGGAAGAAAATGCCACTCATATAATTTTCGAATGCGAAGATTAGATTTTTTTAACAAGGTTTGCAACAGGTGCTGCTTGCAGGAGAGGTCATATCAACCCTTGCGCTGCCAGTGTTTAAAAAAATTGTATGTTGGGTTTAAATGCACAGACGCTGGATTTGAACCTAGGGCCTTTTCCTTACAGTGATGAGTGACGTGTCAATGTCTAAACCATTGCAGCTACCTATGTATTGTATTTTCTGCAATGGATTCTGATTAAAATATTTGCTATGTTGTTTTCAAGAGGATAAAGCGAGGGTAAGCAGACTAAAAGTCTACTCAAAAGTAACAATTTTAATACCAAAAATAAATAAATAAAAAGGGTGGACTACACACTATGTAGAGAACGTTGGTTTTTCTCCGGTAATTATCATAGTTTAAAGTCAAATAAATAAACTTGATGATGGGTTTTGGCCTGTGAGTAGATGAATTCATGTTGAACCGGCACAGGGTCTGTTGGTACCTTGTGCAGGTTCAGCACAAATAAATAAAGGTGAATATACAATTTACTTTTAGATTCAAGTAAAAGAAAACATACAACAGACGAAAGCCATCTTGTATAATTAAAATTCTGACTCTTTTAATATCAATGCCTATTTTTTTCTATATTGGCAATATTTCAAATGGCTAGATCTTAAGGCCATGTACTTCATTTATATATTTATATTGGTTAGTTAAAGTAATTGTAATGCAACAAAAAGCTTATTTTTCTATAGTCATAGACAGAGGTTCACCCTGTAAACATATAGCATCTTGCTGATGCAGCATCTACCAGTGGTGGAATCTAACACTATTCTGATATTTTTAAACTTGCTTTTCAATATTTGTCTAAGTTCCTAAGTCATTGAAAATTACTTGATATTACAGTTATTATTTTAATTACAGTTAATAAGTCGTATAATTTGCATTCTTTGTACAGAAGATCATGAGTCTTGTAGCAATGCTGCGATACGGTGTGCCATTTTGAACAGCCATCGTTTTTAATATATGACAGATTCGACACATTTATCAAACAGTTATGTAGTTCATAGTTTAAGGTGAGATATTTTTTATAGCAAATAATCTGTTAAACATTGGAAAAAAAAGAATAAACCATATGCTTACATCATTCTTTTTTTATAAATAAATAATAATAGATATGAAAATTATTTTTAGCATTATGTTCTCTGTATTAGAAGAGAAGAATGAATGGAACATTTATAGACATTAAAGATTTACTCCAGCATAAATTAAAAGATAAAAACTATTAAATTCATTAGATTTCATGGTCTGATTGACCAAATAACATCTTTCAATTAATTAATCTTTATGTAAGGTATTGGTTGAGATAAAAAAGTCAGTGTCACGAGCGGGATTTGAACCCACAACCTTTGGCTAAATACGCCACTGCTCTACCACTTGAGCTATCGTGACTTCGATCCACTCGGACACTAACTTCCCATCTCAACCCAAGTGACACTGACTTTTTTATCTTAACCAATACAAAAAGATTAATACAAACTATTGTTAATCCAAAAATTAAAGCATAGATGTCAGTTTGAAAACGCAACTACTTTTGCTAACTGACTTTTTTTTTAAATTTTGACTACATTTGAAAAAGAAAAAACCAGCTAAAGGCTACAATTCCTTGGCTCCATATATAGAGCGCATAGGAGTGCCACCCGATATTCTCAAATCACTTTCATAGAATTTGAGCACAACTGCGAGCATCTGAGAGTATTCCTCTTTCGATTCTTGGAGCAAACAGGAGTGTTTTAATGCAAATATTAACGATAGTTTTACGTCCCTAGTGGTGTGAAAGAGAATGTATTTATTGGTGTGAATGTGTAGTATGAAAGGCCCAGT